GTTTAACAGGTGTACTAAGTAATGCATTAGAGAAAATCGTCAGGGCAAGAATAATGACCCATCTAGAAAATAATGATTTGTTAAGTAAGCACCAATACGGCTTCGTCAACGGAAGGTCAACTGTTTTACAGATGCTAAAAGTTATTGATCATTGGACAGAGATTATCGATCAAGGAGGATCAATCCAAACAGTTTTCCTAGACTTTATGAAAGCATTCGATACTGTCCCACATCAACGGCTATTAGGCAATTTAAAGCCATACGGAATACCACAAGAAATAACCAAATGGGTTCAGTTTTTTAACTGACAGGAAACAGCGCGTAGCAGTAAACGGGGAAACGTCCGATTGGAGGGTGGTAACAAGTGGGATTCCCCAGGGAAGCGTTTTAGGTCCGTGCCTTTTTGTAATCTATATCAATGACCTTCCGGAATATATATAACGCAAGTACATATCTATTTGCAGATGATACGGAAATTTACAGTCATAACCATACCTCGAATCTTCTGGAAGATTTAGATAAGCTTCAAAACTGGTCGGATACATGGCTCCTAAAATTTCACCATGACAAATGTAAAGTTATGCAGATAGGAAAGAAAAACCATAATATACCATTACATTTATATAAAGACGAGGAAAGCGGAAGAGCCGAGGCTACATTACAGCGTATAACGAAAGAAAAGGATCTTGGAATCATAACAGATAACAACCTCAATTTCAACCAACATATTCACGATGCAGTCAACAAAGCCAATAGAATAATGGGAACTATCCGAAGAACGTACACATATTTAGACAACAAAACATTTTGTTTATTATATAAAGCGCTTGTACGTCCGCACCTGGAATATGGGGCCTGTGTATGGAATCCCTATAAAAGATATAAATGAGTTGGAAAATGTACAAAGGAGAGCAACGAAACAAATACCGGGAATGAAAGACCTAAGCTATGAAAACAGACTGAGGATCCTTAAATTACCATCATTGAGGCACAGAAGATTGAGAGGAGACATGATCCAAGTATAGAGCGATTTCAGGTAACCTGTCGTCTCCACGGTAACCGAGACCGTCCGCCATATTGGAGACACCAGTTGGAGTGTACACAGCCTGGGTTAACATAGAAAAGGCAAAAGTGCAGCTATACTCACAAATAAATGTGAAAATATGTCGAAAAAGCAGGATTCAAAAGCCAAAAAAGAGCAAAAATTGTATCGAGATGGATTAGATACTATTGAGAGGGCTAGATATATGGACAAATTGAAAATCATTGACGATAATGACCCCTATGAACTCGACAACATGTCGGACAGTGTTGATATTTTGTCAAACATTTCGGATATGGACATTGCTATTTACTTAATCCACACACCAAGCCCTTACACGCTAGATGAATTAAGATGTCATAAAAGCATGGATGCCTACAATTACTTCATTTCTGGTTGGGTGCGTGAAAAAAAGTCTGCAGTTTTTGGTGAAAATGTTGTTGTTACAGCAAAGGTAAACATCCCCCCCCAAAAAAAAAAAAACAAAAAAAAACACACACACAAACTTTCACAGCTTTTATTTGTTTATTTTTTTATTTTTGGTAATGGTAAATAATAAATATTCTCTGTTGCATGAAAATAAATTAAATAATGAAACTTGAGACAACTAGTTTGCCCATAGATAGATTTTGATAGATTTTAAGTTTTGAGCAAAAATCTAACATGCCACCCTGCTTATTTTTCCAGTACCATATTCATATCAACTGGTCATACAATTGAGAGTAAACTTATTATGTCTGTCAGCGTGACAGTCTGATTTTTTTCTAGAGAATTATATTGGGTGAAATATTGCCTAAGTCTGCATCTTTTGTGTAACCTGAATGCGTTTCAGTTTTTGAGGAATAAAAAGTGAAAAAAGCCAATCTGATACTTTTGTCATACCTTTCGTGATTTTCAATATATACTTATTGATTTCTTATTTTTATTTTTAAGTGTTGCATTCACAAAGATTAAGAGAGAAACCACTGCAACCACGGGTGGTGGCAACGAAAACTGGAAATATAAAAGCTGCCCACTGTAATTGTATGGCCGGCCTTGGTGAAGCTTGTTCCCATGTGGCAGCTTCACTTTTTGCTGTGAAGGCTTCTGTAGAACTCAGAAATTCAGTGACCGTGACTCAGAGACCAGCATACTGGATGTTACCAACTGAAGTACGAAATGTTCAGTACTGAGAACTTAGGGATATTGACTATTCATCATCCAAGACGTTGAAAAATAGATTAGATAAAAACATTGAATGTGGCACACGTCCAGAGAAAAAGACTGGGGTCAGCACAAAGAAAGTTCAGCAAGCAACTGATGATGAACTCAATTCCCTCTTTGAAAAATTACATGGCTCAGGAAGTAAGTCAGTTGTGTTAACAACTTTGGCACCGTATTCAAATGACTTTATTCCAAAACCAGTGGGAGAGAACTTCCCAGTTGTTTTAACCGAGCTGCGGATAGATGATTGCTGCACTATGAACTTTAAAGACTTGTTAAAGAAATGTGAATCAGTTAAAATATCCGTTACTGAAGAGCAGGCCAAATGTGTTGAACAAGAAACAAAATTGCAGTAAAAGTCTAAAATGTGGTACAGGTTCAGAGCAGGTCGAATAACTGCTTCTAAAGTAAAATTAGTGTGTCACACAGATATCAATAATCCATCTGTTAGCCTAATAAAATCTTTGTGCTATCCAGATTCACATAAATTCTCAAATCAATCAACACGCTGGGGATGTGATCACGAAAAAATAGCAACAGAGAAATTTATTTGAATCATTGAATCTCAACATGAAAATTTGACATCAGAAGAATCTGGATTAATTTTGAATTCCGAGTTTCCCTACTTGGGAGCATCCCCTGATGGTATAATTTCATGTGACTGTTGTGGTAAATTTTGTCTAGAGGTGAAGTGTCCATACTGCAGAAGATCCCAGAAATTGAATGACATAGATGACAAAAAATTTTGCCTTCAAAAAAGTGATGATGAGAGTTTATCACTAAAGAAAACCCATCAGTATTATTATCAGATCCAGACACAGCTAGGAATGTCAAATCTTGAAAGTTGTTTTTTCGTAGTCTGGACAAATGAAGATATCGATATTGAAGTTGTCGACTTTGATTCAGACATTTGGAATTTAATCTGTGAAAGATCAAAGAAGTTTTTTCAAACTGCTGTTTTACCAGAATTAGTAGGTAAATTTTACACGAGAGTTTCTTCTTTAAAAGTGTGATGTTTCAAAACAATCAGTACCTTCATCATCAGCACTTAAATTGTCGGTTGCTTCTTCTGACAACATTACCTTGCCAGACAACAAGGGAAATGTGGATGCAGAAGAGAGGTGGTGCTACTGCGATGAAGTTGAATTTGGTTCCATGAGATGTTGTGACAATCAAAACTGTGAAATACAATGGTTTCACTATCAATGTGTGGGGGTTGAAACAGCCCCAAAAGGAAAATGGCATTGTCCCGACTGCAGGAAGATAAAATATAAAACCAAGAGAAATGCGAAACATATGTGTCTCACCGCTGAGTTCGAGTCCCACTCAGAGCACTTGCATCTGGGTAAATGACCTTTCCTTACCGTTGGCCTTTACTGGTTCATGCGCGTCAGTATAATGTGACTGGGGGAGTGGTACGCTTGTCTGCGGCATACTGACTCGGTGAGCTAGCACCTTGAAGTTGCCCTGAGTGTGCTAGTACAAGGCAAACCACATAAAACTCACTCGCACATCTTGCGCATACATGAAATTGTGTTTAGATTAATCCTTAGAGATTCATAAATTGTTCTCATCGCAAATAGCTGAAAAATTGCTGGTGCGACATCAGACAGCATTACAACACCAACATAATAACTGATGTTGTTTTGGAGTATGATATATGATTAATATATGCAAATCAAATAAAATTCATTCAATGAATAATCATTTCAGCAATGTAGTGATAAGGACATCAGTTGCAAGAAGGACATCAGTTGCAAGAGGCGATCAGCATAGGTTTGATCCCTTGCCAGTTCAAATAAATGACTTTAAAATTGAAGAGAATGAAAGATGAAGAAATCTGAGAGAGAAAGATTACAAACAGAAAACGGTTATTCCTGGAATATAGTCATTTAAGAAAAAAATACAAAAAAAATTGAAGCAAAATATTTATTTTATGTATTACATGTGCAGAACTCGCAAAATATAATAACCTGTAAACCAGACATGTGGTAATCAGTAATTGTAATAGTGATCAGCTGTAATTGATTACATTTTTGCATGTAATCAAATGTAATCAGTAATCATGGAAAATCTGATTACTTGTAATGTAATTTAATCAATTACAGGTCTTGAATTTCCTGTAATTCTGATTACTTTCCGATTACGTAAGCATGATTACATTTAAATTACGAGTGAATGTCTAAAATAGCTTTAAATGTATTGAATTTTTTCCCTTTATTTATTATTTGTGTGTTTTGTTGTATTTTAATTCAGGTTTTAAATTACTTGCGGACCAATTAACATTACCATGATTATGAAGTTATATCTTCGTAGGCAAACTACAACAAAAAGATTTTAAAAGCCAATGTAGAACAAAAGATATATTGATTTTTAAAGGCCACTGGATCATTTATATTATTTAATAATTGTTTACCTGTACTGACCTTTAAATTGACTGTACCTGTGCCTGTGCCTAGGGCTATGGTCACCAGTTGATAATTTTGAGATAATCAGTTTTTATAACCACAGTGGACATGGGTTTTGCAGCCCAGAAAAGGAATATATTTCCACAACACTGAACACAGGTCAGGTGCTATACATATGTAAGTTTAAAGTGAGAACTTTTAAGAACACTGAACAGGTCAGTTGGTATATGTTACTTTCAAGTGAGAACTTATCAAAACTCTTGAAGGTTTTCATTTCATTTCTTGCCATCATGTGTTTTGACATTGGTAAAACAATATCTTGTATTGTCACTGATAATGCTGCCAATATGACAAAGGCTTTTGACTTTCCACTACCTGGATTTGTTGATGAACAAGGCATGCACAGCACCACATCTGATAGTGAGGATGAAATGGATTCTACGGAAGATAGCCAACCAGAGACTGAGTTAGATTCAGATGTTGATTTTGGAATTAGTGTTACTAAGCACCATCGTTGTTTTGCCCATACATTACAACTTGTGGTAAAGGATGGGTTTAAAGAAATCAGTTCTAGTCTGAACAGTGTGCTAGCAAAAGTTGCCTCTGTGGTCAATTTTGCAAGATCTTTAATTGCCACAGAAATCCTTGAAGGCGAGAAAAGGTTACAGTGTGCTAACGTAACAAGATGGAATTCACAGTTACGTATGATAAAATCTGTGCTTGATATTTCAGAGAAGTTGAATAAGCTTGATACTACCAAAATATCCTCTTACGAGCGTAAACTTTTACGTGAACTGTGTTTAATTTTAAATCCTTTTGAGGAAGCAACTGTCATGGTGCAAAGTAATAATTCTGCACGTTTGGCTGTACCACTTACCATTGGTCTGAGACATGCTATGGACAACATTTCTGTCACATACAACAACAAAATGACACAAGCTCTGAAACGTTCTTTACAAAAAAGAATGTCTGTTTATGAAGATGATGATTTATTCACAACAGCTGCTATCCTGGATCCAAGGTTTAATCTTAAATGGTGTGAACCAGAGAAAGTGGGCATATTGACTGAAAAGCTAAGAACTGAGGCGTCACGAACAATCAAATTGAAATGTTCAACTGAAACAGAGTCCTCAGACAATGATGATTATAAAACTGAATCCCAAGATGAAAGCCTCTTCAGTTATATGTCTCGGCCAAGAAAGAGACATACTTCAGCACCAGATAGTTTAAGTGTGGAGATAAACTCTTATTTAGCAGAGGAAAATGTACCAAACTCAGTTAGTCCATTAGACTACTGGAAAGACAAGGAGACATGTTTTCCAACTCTTGCAAAAATGGCCTTATACTTTCTTGCCATACCTTCATCATCCGCTCCTGTTGAGCGACTATTTAGCGTCGCAGGAAAGACATTCCGCCCAGAGAGGTGTCGTCTAAAGGACGACACTTTTGAAAAACTTATGAATATTAAGTGCAATACTGATATAAATACTTAACCTGCTTCCTTAGTCATGTTATATTAGTGAACAGTTTGATTTTGTTGTTGTGATGAACTTAACTTTCCCTATCAGAATATGTACATCATTAATGTGTATGACCAGAAAAATGCAGCATGTGTATGTAATATATATCTAAAACTTAAATTTGAAACTTCAGTTTAAGTAAACAGTTATTCCACACATTCTGCTTTGTTTTTTAGATTTCCATTTCGCTTTTAACCTATCATAAAATGAAGTAATCAAAAGTAATCATGATTACATACTAAAAGTAATTGTAATTTAATCATTACATTTGAAAAATATGAGTAATTTAATTGTAATTGTAATCATAAATATTGAAAGTAATTGTAATGTAATCAATTACTTTACAATGTAATTGACCACATGTCTGCTGTTAACAGTGGGTGCTGTACTAGGACTTAAAATCGTCAAATTGTATTTAATTGCAATACAAATCATGACACCATATGTATTGCCAGAAACATTGTATCACGATACAACACAATATGGTAAAATATGTTAATTACAATACAATATCGTAAAATATCTTAATTTCATAAATTCATGAATGAGTAGGATAAGCATCTACAATGTCAGACAGTTGATGTCAAATGTATCACAGTTTTCTTCTTTTTTCTTTTGAAATTTTATTGAAACTTGTTCTATCTTTTCAGGTAAGATGCCAAAGTATAGTTTACACATGCATACAGCACAAAAACTTCATCTCATGCCATAATAACGCATAGCCTAGGTCTCAAAACAATCATTGTTTCGTGTATCATGCTAAAAATACTAGGAAGGGTAATTTTTAAAAAAAAAAAAAATTTTTACATTGAAATGAAGGTGGAATCAATTCGAAAACAATATATATATATATATTTAATTTAAGCAAGTTGGACAAAAAATTATTTGGGTCTGGACAAGTTGACAGGTGGGTCAGGGAAACCCGAATCAAACAATTTTTTTGGCCATTGGACAATGCATATTAATGGAGGAAAGTGTTATAACTGCAACTTGCTGACTACCACTGTTGTGATAGAATCATTGTAAATGAACAATTTTAATAAAATATCCAACATTCCACAACATTATCAATTATCATTAGTCAAATTCAACTACAGATGGACAACAATTCACAAGCGCACAACAGATATGGACTATTTTGTCTAACTGTGTTACAGTGTCACCTGATTTGCATACCAACAAGTCAATTGGAATTGTAGCACTTAAAATAGTGTATTTTTGTCTAACATTACCAATGACCCTTTCTACATGAATTCTGACATTTGCAAGTTTTCCAGTGTTTTCTACTGCAAGAGGAGAAAGCTGGTCTTTGCCTTTTGTAAATGCAGGTATACACAATTCTGCACACATGCTGCCTAAAGTATCGGAGATATCAAACCCCTCGTCTGCAAGAACAAGGTCTCCTGGCAGAATATTCGACAAAAATCCACTTTGCTCTGTAACATTTCGATCACTGGTTCTGCCACCCCAACCTCTGGAAATAAATGAGACAGATCCCTGCGGTGTAATACCCAAAAGAAATTTGGCAGTATTGTGGTGCTTATAACTTGACCATGATGAAGCTCTAGCAAGAAGGTTTGATGGTCGTTCAATAAACACTTCAAAACAATCTATAATGACTGCGACACGTGTTTCCTAAACTGCAAAGGCATAGTTTTTTTTAACTCGTCACGATCAGACCAACGCACAACACCATGTAATCTATTGTACATAATATCAATGACTTCAGAAAAATATCTAGTGACAGAACTTTGTGAAACACTGAATTCGTAGGACAATAACTGGATAGGCAAGTTTAAACGAAGTCTCATGAGACACAACATCAATAACTGGAATTTATCTAATGTTGGTTTTGTTGGTAAATATGGTTCTAGGTATGTAAACAATCCATTCAGTAAAAGAAATGTTGGCAAGCCTGTAAAATATTTAACTTTCTCATCATTTTCACGAAACTCTTCGATACTAAATTTTGATGAAACCAATGCCTTTTCTCTCTTTAATTCAACATTTTCAATTCGCAAAGACTGGAGTTCAACCATTGCATCGCATAACTGCATGTCTAAGTTTGTTTGTGTTGACACACCAGATTCTGGTTCATCATATGTGTCGCAACGCATAAAATATATTTCACAAAGAGATTTGGAAAGTTCTAGTAATGATGATGCAGCATCCACCTTTTTATTTCTATTTATTTTCCTCCGATACCTGTTGTTGGCAGCAGGTGATTTGATATCAACTTTTAGTCTGCTAACACTTGTCATATTTATGGAGGGCACCCTATCTGGACTGTCTTTCTGATAAGTTTCTGCTATTTTTCCTGAAAGTAGAAAATCATAATGATAAGTAATAATTTTAAACTATTTACAAATATATTAAGCTAACTGAAAAAAAAATTAAAAAGTGGAAATAACAGAAAGAAATTCATCCACCGGAATTGTTGAAAAAAATACAAAATTACATGTGTGCATGAACTTAAAAAAAATGTACACAATTTGAAAAAACTAGAAATGTTCAAAAATATATATATATGTAGCAGGTTAATATATATGACTGTTTGTTATTGTTTTATATTGTATATATTTATATTTTGCCATATTTATGTTCGTAATAAGGATGGTGTATGAAAATAAATAGAATATGATGGTGCATGCCACCTTAATGTAAGTCTGTTATGCATGTTGTGTAAAGGTCAAGTAGTGACCTTTTGCACCATTATGTTTTAATTATTCATGTAATGACATGTGACTTGACATTAGACATCTGATTGGACAGTATCAAATAACATCTCTGGTTTTCTTCGGACTTTCTTGTCTTGTTTTCTTGGCACTTCACACCTTTCCCTCCTTGGGTGTAGAACCTGTTTTTCCGCGGGAGAAGATTGGTTTTCCATGTAGATGCGTCGTCGTTTAGCCCGTCCCGTCCCTGTTTGAGATTTTTCGACTTTAAACTCCCACCTAATCCCGTGGGGTGAGTGTCAGAATGGATTTTGTGTCTTGTATACATTCTATCTTGAGTGAATGAAATTGAAGTATGTTAATTCTATAAAATTAACATGTAAACGTATTCTTTTATATTTCTGTAAAAGAATTGTATATACTGTTTTGTTAAAATATATTGTAAATTCTAAAATACAATTTACAATAATATAACTATGCATAAATGTGTAATTGTGTGAAATCGAATACGTGTGTATCAATAACCGTGACGGGATTATCGCCCTTGCGTAAGAATGAACGTTGAGAGTGTGCTCATGTATTGTATTTTTATGTTTCAGAGTTTATATCCATCTTTAACATAATAAAACCAAGAACCCTAAACAGTGTTTGTCTTAGATATAGACATGCACCTGTTACATCCGGCGCCCACGTAGGGACCCGGGATTAGTACTTAGCCATGCCCCATCGGCATCGCTGTGACCCCTGGAAACTCGAGGACAAGTTCTTTCCTGGAGGGGGAGTATGTAACCCTGGTAAAATACTAGCCGCAATATACCACTCGGCTAGAGAGAACTTCTCTTTAGCTGGATTGGTTGAGCGTCAGACTAGTAAGCCAGGGGTCCCGGGTTCGATTACTAGCGGAGGCATTAAAATGAATCAAATAATCCCGCGGTTCTATCAGAAAAGGCGGGATTAATTTGTCTTACCGGCACGCAGGATCAAGTAACACGTGCAGTAGCTATAGGCTGTAGTTGGGCACACGCGGTGGTAGAGTCCTATAGGAGGACATTCTCTAGCCGTGCGCTGAGCAGTGCGGATATAGTTTTTTTTTCTTTTTTTTTAATGGGAATCGTAGCTTTGACATGTAGTAGCGGGCATTCCAGCGTTTGAATAATGTATTTTACAAATGCATGGTATAGTTTGAGTAGGAGTAACGCAGTGCTCCAGATAACTTTTTGACATGTGTGGTTTTCACTCCTACCTTTATAAATTGAGGGGTTTTTTCACCCCTGCCTTCATCAAGTGTATGGGTTTTTCCATATTAGGGTAACACTGAATTTGTAAACATTTTTGACAGCGCCATATTTGCTATGCGACTGGTTTATAATCACGATCAAGAAAGCGCTTGTTACGAGTTTTGTTTACTCGATAAGTGTCTGTTTGACTTAGATTATTGAGTTTTCTAACTACGTAATATTGGAGCCGGACATTGACGCAGAGTCCGGATTTCGCACGGGTTAATGACGCAAATCTTATTTTTTTCCTAGCGTGAAATTAGAAATATTGTGCGTGAAAACGCATTCACGCAGGCTATCTGGAGCACTGAGTAACGCCTTTCCGTCGATATATTATGTAGCTTGTATCAATATTAACGCAGGTCCAGCGTTACGTCTAGGCCATCCTGCAGTGGGATATAATTGTTTCCCGCCAAATCGGACACAGATTTCCGGCGATTATCGCCGGTTTTTTCTGGGCGGCAAGTTGTGTCGTGGACGGTGAGAGATTAAAGGAAAAGAGAATATTTCACATGTACATTATCGGGCTGCATCAGATTTTTTATACTGCTGAACATTGTTTCGTTGAACATTAAACGCCGACTGCACTCTAGGCACACGGGCTGGTACGGCAAATTGTATATTTGCGTTTGCGTTGTTTTTTACTTGAGACATAGAGGAGAGAAGACTAATGACCTCTCTTACATTGGCGCCCCTGTAGGGACCAACGAGGACGACGAGAACTACAACGTACGACGAGGACAGTGTTATTCTGGCGTAGTTCCAAAGTTCGCCGCCAGGAGGACCCATGTGGCTTCTGGAAAAAAAAAACCAAACTGCAAGGCTTGACGTCTGTATGGTAAATGTGACATTCTGGTTTCCTGTCTATATGCTACAAACTATCGGTTGCGGTAAGCGGCAAGATGACTGTCCGAATTGCTGAATTGTGCTATTTGTTTAAACGTTCCCATTTATGTGCTTGCAATGCCGCTTGACATATATGATCCAATTGTTGATCACGTGTAACCGGCGACCTTGATCC